GCTGTCATCCGAGTTGGATAAACGCTCACTGGATGCAATTGAAGCTCACTGGTCTCATATGCAACAGGCCTTACTAGCAGCAGGCAAATCCTCATGTGGTATGTCTAATCGCCAACATGAACGTTGAGTCTCTACACAGTCTCTGGAACTTATAGATGCTCGCCGGCATATCCCAGCTGGAAGCGAACACAATGAAACTCGCAAAGAGCTCCGGGCAAAACTCCGTGCCAGCCTGAAGAGAGACCGCGAATCCTGGTGGTCTCGTCGTGCAACAGAGATGGAAATGGCCGCTGCCCTTGGTAACCATCGTGAGTTATTCCGTCTTATACGGGAACGGGCAGCAGGAGACCTGGTGTTAGTGAAACTATACGTGACGAGAGTGGACAGCTTATCCACAACTTATCAAAACGCCTTGCAGCGTTGGGCTGAGCACTTTGAAAGGCAATTTAATCGGTCGGAATTGTTAGATTTCTCGCCGACCAGTGATCGCCCCACTCCCTGGGCTGTCCCTTTGGATCCACCCTCTCGCTCAGAAGTCGAACATGAGATCAAACTGTTGAAGTTAAATAAAGCCGCGGGACCCGATGACCTTCCTCCAGCCCTCTTCAAATTCGGGGGACCTGCTCTTGTGGATGATTTACACGAGTTACTAGTGAAACAGTGGGAGCAGGAAACGGTCCCAACCGATTGGAGCCGCTCCATCATAGTCCCAATTTTCAAGGGAGGCTCACGATCGGAATGCGGCAACCATAGAGGAATCAGTCTGATCTCCATCGCCACCAAATTGCTTGCCTCTGTCATCCTTCACAGACTGACTGGCACTCGTGAAATCCAGATTCGTAAAGAGCAAGCCGGATTTCGTCGAGGTCGTGGCTGCATTGACCACGTCTTCACTTGCGTCAGTTGTTGGAGCACCGTCACATATATTGGCGGCCCACCGTTGTCGTGTTCATCGATATCAAGGGTGCATTCGATTCGGTGGATAGACATGCACTTTGGGACTGTCTACTCAGGAAAGGTGTACCTGAGAAATATGTGAATATTATCCGAGCATTATATGCGCGTAGCTCGGGCAGAGTGAGGGCTTACGGCAAGTTGTCGTCGCCCTTTAATATCTCCAGCGGCGTGAGACAAGGATGCCCGCTGTCACCTTTCCTCTTCAACTTCGCTGTTGACGAAGTCATGGAAATCGCGTTCACAGGACACGACTTAGAAGGTGTGGAGCTACTCCCAGGAGAACGACTTCTTGATTTAGAGTATGCTGATGATATTGCCCTGATCTGTGACAGCTCACAAACGTGCCAAGCGGCACTGGACAGATTAGCACTAGCTGTCCGTCACTTCGGGCTTTGCTTCGCACCCTCGAAGTGCAAAGCGTTTCTCCAAGATTGGTCTGGACCGCCTCCTACGCTGACCCTTGGTGGGGATCAGCTAGAAGTCGTTCAAAAATTCAACTACCTGGGAAGTTGTATCAGCGCCCGTGGGATTGAAGATGAAATCACGAATCGTATAGCAAAAGCTCGGGGCGCTTTTGCTAACCTTCGCCACTTATGGCGCCGGCGCGACATCACTCTCGCCCTGAAGGGTAGAGTGTACAATGCAGCAGTACGTTCGACCCTACTGTACGGTTGTGAAACCTGGCCGCTTAAAGCAGCGGACCTGAAGAGGCTAGTTACGTTCGACCACCGGTGCCTTCGTAATTTAGCTCACATTTGGTGGGAACACCGCGTGAGCAACGAGCGTGTTCGACGCCTTGTTTATGGCACAGGAAAAGGAAATGAACCGCTCAGCACCGTTATTTCACGCATCAGGCTCCGATGGCTCGGCCACGTGTTACGCATGCCAGCCCACCGACTTCCGCGACGTGTGTTGTTTGCGCGCCGGGGGTGTGGATGGAAGAAGAGGAGGGGTGGCCAAGCGATGACTTGGTCCAGAGGAATGAAGACCCTCACTTCTGAGCTGGCCTCGGTTGGAGCGTCTCGGCTCCCTGGTTGGGGTCCGAAAGACGATGAACACGTTTGGTTGGACACACTTGCTGATATGGCTAGGAGCCGACCTCAGTGGCGTTCGTGCTGTGAGTTTCTTTGTCCCACCCCATCCCTCTTAGCCTCCCCCTCCAACCACGATCTCATTACTTAGCCTTATATAATTTTGCATAATAATTTTTTTGGGTGCACAGCAGCCGGCTGGTAGCTTACCGGAACGATGCCCATCCGTTACCGGTAGCTCAGCCAGCTTTCACCAGTTGTTTTTTTCTCTCCTTTTTTCTTTGTATTGCGGCACAGTAGCTGAGGTGTTCCCCACCTCTAGCTAACGTGTATGATGATGATGATGATGATGATGATGATGATGATGATGATGATGATGATGATGATGATGATGATGATGATGGAATGAGTGATGATGAGTGATGATGATGATGATGATATCTCCATCCCATTCCTGGAATATTTGTTGGTTTATTTGCCGTTATATGTTTGTGCTGTGAGACTACACGGACCGCAGAATCACTGCGAAACAAACGATAAGTCATTCTTTTAAACGTAAACAACTCACTACCTTTTTATTTTTCGATAACCCCGTAAAACCACACAATGAGACAAGTAAATCATTGCCTCTTAATCAGCATACTTAGTGACAACATCGTGACAAATTCCCGTGCGGCCACACTTTAACTCGGCTCTCGTTTTGCCCTCTGTGGTCACTGTAATTCTCCCCATATAATTTTGTGCGTGCGCTCGTTCGAACCAGTTAAACGAGCTCCAGTCAGTGCTTCGCAACTCTTGGATCTAACCTGTGTGGATTATACTCTTGCTCCAATTCCCAGTTTTCGGCATATTCTTTGCCGAATTTCACTTATGTAACCACATCGAACCGGTTTTTTCGGAAAACATTTTGATCTCATCCGGAAGAAGAAATTGAGGGCTCCCAAACTAAATAAAATAAATAAAATAGTTTATTCTCGAAATTGTCGAAACACACCAAGCAAGGCATGATCAATATTTACATGCAATATTGCTTCGCAACAAACATGTTGCAGCATAACCAAGTTACAGCCTTTTTGCTCTGCTCATAAACTGAGCAGCTCTAAGGACGTTTAAACAGCGCTCCACCTGTATCGTCGCTTAAGGCAGGCCGATTAACACAAGCTGCCGCTTTGTGTGGGTGTGTGTTCAACTGCGATTCGATTGAATGCTGA